ACCCTTTTTACGTATGGATTTACGAGAGGTTAAATTTAATTAAAGTAATCGTGATTAAAACTCTGGACTTTTTTTACTTTAATACTGTGCATTTGAGAAGAATGTATTATGGAACTCGCCCCTTAGGTTCGAATCTGCCGCGAAATTACAATCCAAACATGCGACGTGCGCGCGCAGCAGAGCCTCACTTTTGGGCGCCTCATCCCTCCCGTGTGTGGCACCCGTGGACAAATTAAGATCTTCTGTTGAAATCTAACCTAACCTAACCTAACCTGACCTTTCCTAAATCCTTAGAAAGGATTTATTGTAAAGTATTATTCTAACTACAATTATTCTCTGACAACTAACTAGGACAAAAACCACCCAGTTAGCCGGATTTTAAGGATCCAAAAGCTAAGTTCCTCCTGAATTACCATTTCCAGACCTCATTTGTTCAGTTCAAAACAGTGAACATGGATAGCTTTTATTGGCTACTAACTTATTTTGAATTTACACCTTTCGAATCTAGTGAAATACCTCATAGTTTCTTTTTATTTTACAAAAATTTCAACAGAAGATCTTAATTTGTCCACTAATTTCCCATTTTGGACCATTGTGCGATGAAAATTTGATAAACTGAACCCAATTGAATGCATTGATAAGAACATTGTTCGCCATGATCTCTGCAGGGGACTAATAGTCGTACATCATTTTTAAAAAGTTAGGCAGAAGATCATAATTTTTCCACTGATTTCCCATTTTGGACCATTGTGCCATGAAAATTTGATAAACTGAACCCAATTGAATGCATTGATAAGAACATTGTTCCCCATGATCTCTGCAGGGGACCAATAGTCGTACATCATTTTTAAAAAGTTAGGCAGAAGAATCCTTATCTGTCCACGATTTCTCCCCATTTTGGACCACTGTACGTCCAAAATTTTTGAAACTGAACACAGTTACATGCACGGGGGCTCAATAAGAACATTTATAGCCCAAACCCATCAATAGTGTAACTTTTTCGTCCATTTTTCCCGTCTTTTTCCTGTAAAAATGCTGTACAGAATGATGGCGATTTGGCAACTTTGCCCCCCCCCCATTTCTCAAAAACGGTGCGTATACTCAAGCTAAAATTTTTACCAGAGTTTTAGGGTATCATAAGGTATCGTTTGGGCCCGGTTTCAGAAAAATCCCTTCTGGCCCAAATTGTGCCAAAAAACGGTCGTTTTTGGCGTCGCTCTTTTGTGCTGAAAAATTTTAAGTACTAATCTTTTTAGTTTCTAATTTTTTTATACGTGAAGTCCTGTTGAATTACTATTAATTCTTTTCTTTTTTGTTTTCACTTTGTCTTTGAAAACGAAAACCTAAGTTTTTTCAACTATCATTCTGTATAAGTCTTATACTTTTCTTATTCTATGTAATATTTTAGTTACATAATCATTAACTTTTATCTTACTAACAAAAAAACAATGAAAATGAAACTAATTATCATAACTTAATGATCTTTACAATACTGGCTAATAATTTGAACTCTTAATTACTAATGCAACAAACATGTAGGTAACTCTTAGGAATATTTCTACCTTAACAATATAATTATCTATTCTAGAACACCTTTTTGTTGTTGTTTTGACTGTTTTTTCTTAATAATTAAAACAGACTGCACTTCTTGATATTTGGAGTTGATAAAAGAGTCAGGGGACACAGGAGATGAAGGTTTATCCATGGTTACATTAGAACTGTATAAAAGAAAGTGAATTAGAAAATATGACAAGAATAAAATGATTTTTGAGACAAAACAATTTATTTTTGAAAAAAAGATGAATATTTTAAATAAAAAACGTCCTGAAGGTAATAAAATTAACTTCTTGAATCAATAGATTGTTCAGAGTTAAATTTTTTGTCCATAGATAAGGTTCCAAAAACACTTCAAAGATATCGCTGAAGTTTCCAAAGTTGCGATAATTGTATTTAGCAAATGGGTGGTTTTTATGCGAGGATTAAAAATAAACAAGTGGTACGGAATATAACAAAATAATATGAACTTTGCAAAACGATAATCCGGGTATCGGAACTTGGCTGTTTTGAAAACGCCTTCAAATGCGGCGATACCTCACGCATTCCGGAGAGTTCAAATAGTTGTATCATTGCGCCGTAAGAATGTGACGGAAGATTACAATTGAAAGAGCCTTCATGCACGCTGACATTTTCGATTATTCCGTTCACATTTTTGCAGTCATCAATGCATAGCTTAAGTGCGCTTCAGCTAGAATGGTATTTAGCAAATGGGTGGTTTTTATACGAGGATTGGCAAAGCAATTTAAGTCTGATCAAAGTTGCTTCTGGTTACTCTTTCAAAATCTTTCTCCCCTTCAAGTAAATTTCCATTCGATTCCAAAAATTCAAATAAAAAAAAACAGCCAGATAATTGGTCAAACTCTTTACTTAAAATGATTTCTGCTCTCCTCCTCTCTTGCTTTCCTTTCCTACAAGCAAGAAAAATGTCAAGTTAAAAATTAATTTGATGATTCATTTTTCTCTATGATCACAGTTAAAAATAAAAATTACCTTTTGATGGACAATTTACGCCTGATCAAAGTTGTTTCTAGTTACTCTTTCAAAATCTTTCTCCTGTTCAAGTAAATTTCCATCAGATTCCAAAAATCCAAATAAAAAAGAACAGCCAGATAATTGGTCAAACTCTTTACTTATAATAATTTCTGCTATCAAACCATATTTTGCCCGAATCAAAGCTTTTTAACCATTTTCTACAAGACCAGTTGGTTTATTTTCTGATGACACACATTTGGACATTTATGCTCCAAGGAACTATGTAGAATTGTATACAAGTATCTCGAATCAGGAACTATTACAGACGATTTGTGATTTCAAAGCCCCTCCTCTTTAAACTCATCCATACATAGTTTTTTGGACCATAATATGAATAATACGTGAACTGTGTAGTCAAAACGCTTACCTCTTCTCTCGCCGTTCTCATTTCTTTTTGGACTAAATCGATTACGTCCTCACTCTGAAAAAAACAAAAACAAAAATTATACATAAACATGAGAAATAGAATAACGGCTTCCTTCATATGGGGTGTCCCAAAAGTCCGTAACCGACCCGGTAACTTTTGAAAAAATTGGAAACAGAGACTTAAAATTCTGGCAGTGCTCTAACGTCAAAGGGAACTACTTTTGGAATCCCCCAAAGTTTGTGGGGGACCACCCTGAGGGGGGGGGGGTCGGACTTTAAGGACACCCTGTATAAGACATATTCTCCCAAACACTACTATGTGCGAGTGGAAAAGACTGAGTGTGTGTGCTCTTGGTGAGCTACATAAGAAACAATGTAAAAGTGGGCACAGTTCTGTTTGCTGATTGGAAAACCAGGATCTTACCTTCTGTCAAACGGAACTATGTGTTGCAAATCAATGCTAACTTATAAACCGTAGGCATGCAAGAGAGCATTGTGAACAGGGCTCGTGAGTTGACGCACCAATGCCCACAGCGACAGTGATTTCATCACCGCTGATATCCTTGGGGTTCTATAATTCCCATTCATTCTTATAGCCATTAACTAACCAGCATCAACACGTGTAAAAAAATCCTGACAGACATAAATTTTTTCACAAGCACCATTTCAAAAAAACCTATTTTAATTTAGTCACTCCTATTAGTCTTATATTATTATTAATTTTTAAATAGCCAAACATACCTCAGACACCTATTCAATAGGACTATTTCCTCTTACTCTTTCTGACTGTCTTCCCATTTTCTCTCTTACCGTAGCATTGAAAATCGAGATCATGATTTTGTTTTTATATAGACTAGTATTTAGAACAATCCATCAAATTCAAATGTTTTCTGTGTAAAGGGATGTGAAGAGAAATCAAACGGATGAGGGTCAAAATAAAATATCTCTGATACTTTTCATATCATGTTACCTTCAGAGTAGCAGGTTGTGCTGTTGCCCAAGCTCCAGGGCTTATCATCTGTTGTTGCCATGGCCCAGCACTACCGAGGCCCCATCCTGGAGGGGCTGTGTTGTAAGGAGCTGTCTTGTAAGGTGCTGGTTGCGGCGGCGGGGGCGGAGGTCTCTGTTGTTGTATTAACATTACTATGTTATCTTCAGACATTCCGTTAACTGCAACAAAATAAATGACATAAAAAAAACATTCTGAACTATATTTTGGTAAAATATAATAATAGAAAAGATACTTCGATTAACCTCAGTGCTTCAAATTTTATTGTACACAACAAAACTGCGCCTTCAATCAAAAATTTAAATGAAAATTCAATCATACATTAAAAACCTTTCTTCTTGAATCATAAATTATACTACATTATCCAATAGAGAAACATTGGAAGAAATTTCGTAACTCTCTTCGAAAACTTTGAAAATTCGATCTTCCTGAACACCGTTTTTCATCCCCATGCACTCCATTTTCTAAAAACCTCATTTTTGAGATTTCCATCATTTTGAAAATGATCAGTCAAAAGGAACCACCATTATCAAACCTTTTCCTTTTGGAAAAAACAAGAGTAAATTACTTGTACTCACTAATAAGAGCATTGATGGTGGCAAAAGTCACCTTGTGAAAATCTTTATGGACCTTTGTCAGCCTTTCTTTTATTTGATTGACATAATTATTGTGGACGAATCCGGGTGAGCCCTGGAATGAAAGGAAAAGTAGTTATCAGAAATGATCATAAACGTATTGCAATGTATTGAACAGATATTTATTGTTATAATTATATACTTATATATATTCACTTCATTTAGACGCCATGAACCATGAAAAAGATTAAATACGAACAACAAATCAGAAAAGAAGACCATTCTCCAGGACTTCATTTCCTAACCAATGGGCAAACTGTAGAATAATCTACTTCATGTTCATGTGACGTTTAATTGTCTAATTACTTCCACGACATGACGAGGATTCTATCCAGACAAATAAGAAAAAAATTACTTTAACTTTACTTGCTCTGACAACGTTCAAAAAGTTGTGGCTGATTTTGCTTTGATAACTCTGTTTAAAAATGCTGATCCTGTAGAAACACGACAAAAGTAGGTGCCTCACTTGGAGACAATTAACCAAAATCAGCCCTGGCTACATTATGCATTGCCTAACTGCTTCCTTATGTTACAGTCTGGCTTAAAATTTCTTAAGTGAACTTTCACAATGACCATCTAGGATTAATTTACATAAACTCATTATGATCAGTTACTTGGTTTGGAAAAAAGCACTTAAGAAGCAATAGCCATCATGCAATCCTGTTCCACTGATTTTGGTTAAATCTGTCCTGTTTATCAATCGTCATCAGGCTAGGAATACAACAAAAAGTAAGCTGCAGGAAAAAATTTAAAAGACTCTAATTCCTAGAGTAAAGAAAAGTTGAACAAACTTCGACTCTAGCGTCAACACAGCTTCAGCATGGATATTGCTGCAAAGCACAATAACCTGCGCAACATTAAAGTCGACTCATCATATGTTGAGACAAATGTCAATCTCTGATTACCTCCGAATCAGCACCACTCGACAGGTTAATACATCCAGGCAGTCAGCACCACTGACGAGTGGTAACCTAAACAATACTTGACTTTTGTCTCAACATACAATGAATTCGCTATAATCGTTGCGAGTTTCACAGTCAAGGGACGTTATGTCTCAAGGTAAGTGAAACGAAGGTATGCTCGTCCCGACCCTTTCGGCCAAAACTCGGGTTTCGGCTCTCGCCGGCAGAGCTGTGGCGCGCGATTTGAATGTCAACATTTTTGCATCCCGGCCGAAAACAAACATGGCGGCCGCGTCATTCTCGTGTTTCCGCTTTCCGCGTGTAATCAATTCCGGCTTCTTTCTGCCAAGGAAATTTCTCTGTTCTTTTTTCTCGTCTTGTAGATTGAAATAATAATAATAATGTGCCTTGTGAACTTGTGAAAATGTGATTTGACTGAATGATTTCCCGTGTGTTCGAGTTTGGTTTGAGTTTTTTGCTGATCGGACAAAAGCTGTAGAAGGTAAGTTGTGTAGACTATTGCAATTGATTATGAGAATTTACTGCTGCGCAGCTTTGACGTGCTTAAAGGACAAGAATTGTCTTCACTTTGTTGTCATTTGCAAAGTATTTCTTCAACGGGAATAATTGAAATACCAAAGATTGGATATCATTAATTCGAGAGTATGCTAAGAAGAGTCTCTAAACTTGCCGAATAGATATGGATATTGGTGTCATAATGACACCCTCGCAAACATTTTCATCATTAGTATTTGTCTGTGGTACAGTTCTCGATTTGCCGACCAATAACTGCTCTTACAGACGGCCAACTTTTACCATAAATACTCCTGCATCAATTATAACTCACAACAGGATTCATAAATCTTTGGAGCATACTTGTTGATGCATATCCGTGCCCAAATTTGTCACTGAAAGTTTATCATGTGTTTAGAAGTATAAACACAGTGTATTTTTTGAGCATTGCTCCTTGCCTGGGTGTTATCGTAGGTACATCGTACATCTCTACTTAAGTGTGCATTGCATCAGAAAATAACACACAGAGATAGAGAGAATCGTGCATGGCATATTTCGATGAAAGCATCTGGAATCTAGTTATTTCACCAAAAGATTATTTATCTGTAATTCTTGCTATCAAAACTTTGCTTGCAGGTACTTGATCGGCAAATCTTATGTATACTAGATATTCACCCAAAATTATTGAAAGGAATATCAGTTAGCTCCAAATATTTCTAAGCACAATTATTAAATTGATCCTTCCATCTAAGCATGCGTACTCTGAGTGCAGAGATCAGTTTGAACAACCAGTTTAATAAGCCTTAAGTAAACACATGCTGTCTCCTCTGCAAATCCTCCGATTGGTTTAGGTACTTACTCTTCCGAATCATCTCACATTTTCCATCTACTTTATTTTTAGATGCCGAAACAATGCTCGTTTGCAAATTGCAAAAATTATGACACTGGTGGCGCATTGTCATTCTTCCGTTTTCCCAAGGACCACTCTCTTTGCCAAGTATGGCTGTCGGCATGCAAACAGAACACGAATGTCTCGAATGGAAGAATTTGCCAGGTGCATTTTTCTCCCGAAGATTTCGAGGCCCCACAAATCTTCAAAACAACAAGACGTAAAAGATTGCGCAAGAATGGTAAGGTTTATCTTAAAGTATTTTTATTACATTTTGGATTGGTCTACACATCACCTTTAGTAACTTCCTGAGAAGTTAGATAGGTACCTACCTAAGTATCATGAAGTTATCAAGAGAGTTGGACATGGTCTCTGTTTTTCTGTCCCTTACCTTTATAATGAGTTGCAGAAACCTTCAATTTTTTTTTTTTTTTTTTTTTTTTTTGGTCGCAAAAAGGTCATAGCTTTTTGAAACCATAAAAATGTTTATTTTATCAAAGCAAAATAATTCACCAGACCTTTATTCTGGAAGAATTGATCAATGTCTTAATGGCCATGACAGGTCTTGTTGAATCCCTTGTAGGCCAGTTTTCAGTGGAATCTCACTTCTCCCAAACTGAAATCAACTTATTTTACTAACTGTGTACAGAACATAGATAGTTCTAGTCATGAACAATGGAGGTAGGATTCTTTATTGAGTCGTTTATTAATTAATACAGTTTGCTTTCAAAGATGATAACCTTCTTCAGTCACTGCTGGTGTGAATGAGAGAGAGTTTCTTATTTCTCTCGTAAGAAACATTTTTAGAGACCTCATCAAATAAATTCTCGCACTTCTAGACTGCGATAGAAGATCATCTAACGTCGCTTTTTCATGTAAAGTAAATGCAAAAAGCAAGATAGTGAATCCTCTCTCGCAGTCTAAAAGTGCGGAAACTTATTTGGCGTGGACTCGACTTTTTTTTATAACTTTTTATTTTTCTTTCAGCCAGGCACCGGCTACATATTTTTTTCTCTTTTCAATGAGGCAGACAAAGTAAAGAAAATGTAGGAATCTAATTTCCCTAAATTTTATGAAGATGGGCCAAGATCCAATCAGATATGATTAAAATGCCGGATGTGTCGCCAAAATAGTCGGCTGAGTTCTAGAGTGTAGGCAAGAAAATCTACCGTATCTCTGGCATAAGTTCAGGAAAATGTATCTCAATTATGGAAATTTGCAATTTAGTTACGTACCCTCTTTATTTTCGTGCAAAATAACATACTAATATTACTGTCTGAAATTTTGAGGGAGTATTCTTTGTGCCAAGAAGAAAAATCAGGAGAAGTTTAAAGAAAAAAACTGTGAGTATAAATGAAAACTGTGAACAATGCAAGAAATCCTGATCTCGGTTTCTCTCTTTGTCAACTTAGTGGGAGTGAGAGGGTCTCCATTCAAATATGTTGGTAGAGGCATTGGAAACATTTTAAAACTTCGTATTGAATCAAACTCAAATTTCTTTATTCAAGTGGTTTAGGGGCGAAATAATGAAACGCTACAGTAATAATACAAATTATCATTGAATCTTTTACGTGTATTAAAAAATGAAAATTTTAACTCTTGCCTCGGATGAAAATGTTATTATGATAATCTTAAAAATGGCAACTGACAATAGAGGTCTGCATAGGTTCTCAGGGTGATCATGTCGATAGATAGGTACCTATTACGTGCTTAAGGCAGAAAGTGCCACCATTAATGATGTAAAATTCGAAGCAAATCAAGTGTTTACAACTAATGAAGATATTTTAATGTTTTCAGCCATTCCTCATCTTTTCAACGGACCGAATGATGCACGCGAATTAGAAACCCCTGGAAATGAAGCTTCTTTGGCATCACTAGACTTGGCTCCTGCTGTTATACCTGAAGTCTCTCCTTGTCCTTTTGAAAGAGGGCATTTTCTTGTACCAGACTTCGAAGTCCCTCAACATGAGCAAATGAGACAACTAACTTCTGGAATTTCAACGGTAGAGCGAATAACGGAAGTAACTTCTGGAATGTCATTAGTTGAGCAAGTCGGAACTAACCTCTGGCATATCAAGGGCACAAGAAGAATTGCATGTGCTCTCGCCCATCTTGGTGGATGATTCATCTGGAATACTCTATCATGAAGAATTTTCATTATGTACTGTCTCTCAGTCGGTATGTGAAACTCGATTAACGAACTTAGGAAGTCACCAATCTGGAAGCACTATTCTCGAGATTGCTTCTAAGAAGCAGAAACAACTTCAATTAGAAGAAGAAAACGAGAAGCTTCAAAGAGAGGTAGCATCATTGAGAAAGGCAAATCAGAAGCTGAAAATCCGCATGGGAAAAGAGGCCAAAAAGAACCAGAACCTCAAAGAAGCGTCAAGTAAAAAGTCAGAGCAATTAAACATGCTCAAAATCAATGCTCAAAAATTGAGGATGAAAACCAGTGACCTTAAGCAGCGCTTAAAAAAGTTAAATTCAGATCTTAAGAAAATCAAGAAAAAACAGAAGAATCCTGGAAAAAAGAATCTAGAATCGGTAGTGAGAACAGCTCTCAAAGGTGTTTTGACTGATAATCAGCTAGATGTCATTTTAAACAAAAAGTCAAGAAAGAATTGGACAATGGAAGAGTACTCAACTGCATTTGTAGGTACTGTAGGTACTCAACTGCGAGGTAATGTTTTAAAGCCTTCGAAACAGTATGCGAGAACAATTCTACAGCAATGGCTACATTTTGTCTTTTGGTTTTAACACATTTGACATGAATTTCGGCAAGTTTAAACAGTGAACTCATCTCGGTTAAATTTTTATTGATTAGTTCCAGTAAAGGGCCTTTATGCAATTTTTTTTCATTGATCAAAAATCCTGTATCGAGAAACCAATTTCTCAGCAATTTAAGGAGGTGCGGAGCATCAGCAAAAACGAAAACTTTTTCTTTCGTGATGGGATGTAAGAAATAGGGTTTTTTCAAGGTTACTTGTAGTTCATTCCATAATTTTTGATTGCCCCCGCCACAATCGCTGGTCACACCTACGACCTTACAATTAATTTTTTCGAGTTCAGAAATTACTTTGAGAAGTAATTTCTTACTCATGGCTTTATCAAAATCGAGAAATACTGGCTGTTTCCACTTATCAAAGAGTCCTCTAGCCATTATCACTGGGGCATAGTTATGAGGACCCACAACCTCGTCTTCTTTCTAGCAATATTCAAACATACGGGAAACTTTCATCTCATCAAACGTAAGAACCGTGACCTTTTCCTTAGGAGTTTTCTCATTGCCATGAATTTTCATGATTGCCAGGACATCTGAAAGGACACCTGACCTGAGTTTAAGGGTGGATGCCCATTTCCTTAGAGTGCTGACTCCAGGAAGTGGATATTTCAGCGTTTTTCTTAAGAAAGTATAGCATCTGCGACTAAGGTATCTTATTGTCAATGCAGTTGAGTACTCTTCCATTGTCCAATTCTTTCTTGACTTTTTGTTTAAAATTGACACAAAAAAAAATTGCATAAAGGCCCTTTACTGGAACTAATCAATAAAAATTTAACCGAGATTAGTTCACTGTTTAAACTTGCCGAAATTCATGTCAAATGTGTTAAAACCAAAAGACAAAATGTAGCCATTGCTGCAGAATTGTTCTCGCATACTGTTTCGAAGGCTTTAAAACATTACCTCCCTGGTGATGACAAAGAGTTGGCAAGACTCCTCGGAGAATTTTTTGGGTTGGTCAATCGATGGGTTCGACCTCTTCAATTCTTATTTGTTGAAAGCAAAAGTGCCCACAAAAAAGCCTTTTGAAGGGTTGGAGCATCAGATGTCCACTCTTGAGGAAATGAGCAAGGTCATCAAAAATATGTTGTGTGTCGGAAAAAAACCCTGCAGTTGTTTCAAAAAATGATCCTATTGTCCATTGAGTCCCTTAAGG